CTTCCTCCATACACTCTCAAAATACTTAAATATTTAAATGTATATGCATATTCTACGATACACTTAAAATATATTGTTTTTTTTAATATATAATCAACATTTTTTATTTTATCAAACTTTGATGTCTTTTTTTTCCAGTAATAAACTAACACTGTTAAGTTGTTTTGATTGATACTGTGAAGCAGCTTTGATACAATCTGTATTGTGAAAGGGCTAAATAAATATATTTGACTTGACTTGACTTGTTCCCGCACTAAAGTACACAGTCTTTTGTCCAATTTTCAAATACTTTTTTACTTCCAATCAAAGTTTTTAATGTTATGATTCATCTCATAGCTCAGTGGATCGGTTCATGGCTTATAATGCTTTAATGAAGACTTTTTTGAAATCCCTATGGGAGAAATTCATGGAAAAAATAATTCTGGAACCAATGGTGCAGAAAAAATTGGGTGGACACTTCTGCAGTCCATTACTATTTACTTTCCAAAGAAACATGCAAATGTTTGCCTGGTGGATGATAAACCAGGTGGAAAAATCACATAGACCTACACTGAAAGAATTTCAAGATAGGAGAATATAACAGAGACCAGTAAGAAACCAGCTCATAATCATTCAGAACATCCGAGCAAATTTGGGTCTTCATACTGTAAATAACTGAAATTTTGTACCTGTTTGCTCATCCGGCCTTCAAATGGAAGACTGTTTAAACTGGCCTGCAATGTTGCCACCATCTGAGCTTCAGCCTTCTCTTTGAGTGCCTTGATTTCTTCTTCTATTTCGGACTGAGCCAAACGCAGGTCTTTCAGAGTCTGCTGCTGTTCCCACTCCACAACGTCTGAACCTTCACAGAGGGGCTGCGGATGAGGTGGGCTTTCAATCTCAAGCTCACAGCTGATGTGTTTCAGACTCGTCTCACCGTTTAAAAATGCCTGATAAAGCCACTGATGAGGAACATATGTTTTCACAATGAAGTTCAGGAGAACAGCATGATGAGCAGCAGAGAGACAAGGCTTTATCTGTGATAAATGATCCTTGATGAGGCAAATGACATCTGATGGCTTCAAACCTAATAGGAATAATAAAAGCAAAGGATATCTCATTTATTAATCAGATCAGATAGTTATTCTACAAAGCAACCTTCTTTTTTCTAAGATTAGGATGGAAATGTGTAAAAGATCTAGATACTGTATCTAGATCTACTAATCTAACACTATATTCCCAAAAGTTTTGGAACACCCCTCCAAATAATTGAATTCAGGTGTCCCAATCACTTCCGTGGTCACAGTTGTATAAAATCAAGCACCTAGGCATGCAGACTGCTTCTACAAACATTTGTGAAAGAATGGGTTGCTCTTTAGGAGCTCAGTGAATTCAAGAGTGGTATCCTGGTTGGCACCTGTGCAATAAGTCCATATTCCAATTTTGGTGGAGGGGGGATTATGGTGTGGGGTTGTTTTTCAGGGGTTGGGCTTGGCCCCTTAGTTCCAGTAAAAGGAACTCTTAATGCTTCAGCATACCAAGACATTTTGGACAATTTCATGCTCCTAACTTTGTGGGAACAGTTTGGGAATGTCAGCCCGTCTAAATCGGTCCACTGGCAGTATTCAATAGAACGGGTGACGGTTACTACATGTTGTTGTCTTTCATTTCACGCAACGTGACATAACAAGATTACATTAAATACATTTGTATTACCTCGTTATTTCATCTGACTCCTTAAATGAAAAAAGAGCATCATTAAATCTGAGCGAATGTTTTTAACTCTTTACTTATATTTTACCTGGTAATTTTAGGAAACTATGTCACATTGAGGTCGCGGGTAAAACAGGTCTCACGATCACAATCTCGTCAGTTTTCGGCCACTAAACACAGGTAATTAGCTATATATACTTGAGCTGATCGCATTCATGCTAAAACAGTCACCATGGTTTTTGTATAAAGTAACGTTTACTTCAGGCAGAGGTATGTCCACTACTACAGATCTCTTATAATAGTTGGCCATGCCGTGTTTTCCCACGTACACTTATCTAAAGTAACATTAAAATAAAACAGAGGTAACACACACCCAAAATTAGGCTGGTCAAGCAGCATTTTTGCTGTCCTAAAAGGATATTCACTTCTTGTCTTTGCAAACCAAGTACACTTGAATTAATGCCGCAACATGACATCATGACTTTTGCGTAAACATACACGCCACTTTCGAGTCATCTCTACGCATTTTGAGCTATCTGCGTGTATCCGCGTGTATGCGTGTATGTCTACGCCATTGACGTCCGAGTGATTCCGCGTGTCTGTACACGCCGTCAAATGTCCGCGCGAAACGAAGCAAAATGTAGATCTACATCTGGGGGGCGATTTTGTTTTTTCCTAGGATGCAAGGGAACAGTCATAAATGCCATTAACCCCAGTGATAGGTTTAGGGACGGGGTTGAGGTAAGTCATATATTTATATATACAGTAATAACGTTGAGTCAACAGCGTTCATAAACACGCTGAAAAGCGATTATGCGTGTTGATAGCACGCCAAAAATGGAAATACGAATTGCCGTGTCATACACACGCTACTTCATGAGATCAGTCTGAATGCCAAATACTAATCTGACGGAGACTTGCGGTAACATACAAATCTGTTTAATCTACTTCATTTCAGAGTCAGTCAGAATAAAATCCAATGTTTACAATTTATTGACCAGGCAATAGAACAATATTTCAAAATCAAATTCTTAGAATAAAATAATATATCAATCATATATAAAAACAACAATTCATAAATGATCGAGGAATTGTAGAAATATTTACCTGGCAATGAAAACTACACACAGCGATCGTGTGGGAAGTCTGCCAAGTTGCCAACAGACAAACCTTTTGCCAATTTTCCTTATAAACCCAGACAATTCAATATGCTTACCAAATGGTGGTGTCTGTCATTATAATTCGATTTTGGTCCCCTGTTGAGGGGTTCACAACTGGGATCAGAATTTGTAATTGAATGGGTTCTTGATACCTTTACAAGAGATGTACATGCGGGAGGTAGTTTGAATGGAGGATTTGGGGGAGGGCACACCTTTAAGGGGCACACCACATTTCTAATTTTCTAAAACTTTACACTGAGTCACTTGTGCACCAGTGGTCAAAGCAAGGTCCATAAAGACATGGATGAGCGGGTGTGATGGAACTCATCTGGCCTGCACAGAGTCCTAAACTCAACTCGATGGAGCACCTTTGGGATGAATTAAAGCAGTGACTGTGAGACAGGCCTTCTCGTCCAACATCAGTGCCTGACCTCACAAATGCTCTTCTAGAAGAATGGTCAAAAAAATCCCATAAACACATCTATCTATCTATCTATGCTCATTTAATCGAAATTAAACTGAAACCGCGACTTTTGTGAAGATCGGCTTTGTGATCAGTAACTGCTGCTCCATCTCGGAAAGCACTGCAAGTTTGAGTCACTTGATAATCCATATGTTTTTCTCCAGTGTACAGAATTATACACATTTTTTTGCATAAGAGACACCATCAAACTGAACACAAATGTAGAGTAAATGCAAATATAGGTTATACCCTAATCTCAATAATTAATTCGAAAACATATTAATAAATAAAAGTATTTGCGTAATATATATTTCGCTATGAACAACAAAATAACCTTTTACAGTCTATGAAAATAAAAAATAACGCATAGACTTCCGGGCGTCCCTGTGATCACGTGATAAACAAGTATTTTGCGGTCATCAAATATAGCAGAGCAGAGGGGACCAAAAGGGACATTGTCAAATAATGACCCACCTTTGAGTTTAGGCAGGAGATCTTTGGTGATGTTTGCCACTTGTGCAACTGTTGACCACGACAGTCCTCGTGTAATTGCTAACATCACATTCTCATACACAAACTCTTGATGTAAATACTGTCGTTTATCGTCACCATCAAACTCTGTCCAGTAAAAACAGCTGCTCAGACGTTCAATACCGTCATCTCTCTGAAACAACACATATCAGATATGAGGTTTTAGACAACAGGTCCTGTGTGTGTGTGTGTGTGTGTGTTAATGCGCACACAATCGTCATTCACAGTCAGTGTGATAGTTACTGACTTCGGATGCATCACGCGCATCTGCTTTGTTTTCTCGCCTCTATCAACAAGTGCGCGCGCAGGTAAGAGCCATTGATTTTATATCTCGCGATCTTTATTTTAAGAATCAATTGTGTTTATTTGTGTGAGAATGCCGTAGAGTTAAAGGCAAATAGCTGCAGGTTTACCTTCATCCTCGATATCTCCTGTAATGCGTGTATGGAGGCCATTATGAGACGACTGCTGTTGTGTGTTTGTTGCCAGGGAAACCCAGAAGATTTATGTTTTGTTAAATAAGACACACAGGAGCTTAGGGGTAAACTTTAGACATAACAATATTGTTATATTCATATTAATTATTTGATAATACTGCACATATTAGACTCAATATCAATTTATTTTGCTATTGGTAACCTATACTATATGCGTTTTATTATCATGAATAAATTACACTTGAGGTATAGCCTAACATTCATAATTTAATATATTTTTGAAATTGAATTGACACATTTTCCCCCCATAAACTGTACAATATAAGAATATGTCATCATTGATGTAATTTTTCCATGATATATATAACCCAACATATATTTTTTGTTATGTATTTATGTGGTAATTATGTTGTATTTATTTTACTTTAATAATTTGCTACATTTGTAGTGTGAATATTTTATTATAAAGTAAAATTATTAGTAGTAATCATAATGTTGATATTTTGCTAAGAACAATATTTAGATATTTTTTGTAATAATGCATGCTATTATTATAATAATTAATTATAATAATTAATTGCATGCTATATTTCTTGGTGGTCTGTTTTGATAAGAAAAAATCGCTTATATGTCAACGTACAATGTCAACATGCAGTGTAACTTTTTTGGGGGTCAGCGCAGGCAAATAGTTTTCCATATTTGTGCATTTCTATGCCTAAACCGTGAACAACAGTTCATATTTGGAGATCTAAGAGTTAATTCCGTTTGACACAGATGGCCACACAGTATAATCCTCTTTCAGAGGAGTCCCACTTCTCCTCCTCCTCCTCCTCCTCTTCTCTGGATGAAGGTCTGCCTGTGATAATTAGCCTAATGGAATGAATGACTGTGAATAGACAATATGCAGCTGTGCCATGTCCGTGGTTTGTTGATGTGGGTGAAAAGTGACTTTCTTCACATGAGGGAACGCCATGTTTTTATCATCACCTGCATGAGCCGGAGGGAGGAGCACTCCTTTTTGTAAGAAAAACTGTTGAATTTTCTAAATGGATTACTCTAAAAGTATTGACAGAGCTTGGAGGTTTGGTGTTGGAAGATTTAGCAGTCGAGACGAATGAACCTGAGCTTACAGGGTAAAGCTAATGTGTGGAATTAGGATAGGAAGGAGAATCAAGATGGCTCTATGTTTGGTTAATAAAAAGGTCTGTTTTAGCTTAATGGTTTGTGGAACATGCAAAAAAAAAAAAAAAAGGATTTTCTTACTTCGTAGTTTTGTCTTGTCTTCCAATACAAATATCCAGATGAATCAACTTTATACATTTACTTTAAATGAGAAATCTTGTTTTCTGAAAAATATGTCAAAATTAAGTGAGATAATGCTTAAAACATAAAAAAATATCTGCCACAGGGGTATAAGAAGCATAATCTTGTTTCTCCTTTAAATTTAAAGGGATAGTTCACCCAGATATTAAAATTCTGTCATCATTTACTCACTCTCATGCCGTTCCAAACCTGTAAGACTTTCGTTCATCTTCGGAACACAAATGAAGATCTTTTTGATAAAATCTGAGAGCTTTCTGTCCCTCTATTGACAGCTAAAAGAGATAGTAAAATTAATCCATATGAATTTTCTGAAGCATTGATGAACAGATTTAATTTAATTTTATTAATTTTATTCAATGGAAGCGCTGCACTACATATTTACTGAGTGAAAAGTGTAGGAGACTGACATGGAAGAGAATCAATTGTTGAATAAAGTAGTTATTTTTGTTTAGTTTTTTGTGCACAAAAAGTATTCTTGTCGCGTCAGAATATTAAAGGAGTAGTTCACTTTAAAAAACTTTTGCTGATAATTTATTCACCCCCATGTCATCCAAGAGGTCCATGTCATTCTTTCTTCAGTTGAAAAGAAATTAAGGTTTTTGATGACAACATTCCAGGATTTTTCTCCATATAATGCACTTTACTGGTAACCAAACTGTTCAAGGTCCAAAAGACAGTTTCAGTACAAACTGCAAACTGTTCAAAGGGCTTTAAATGATTCCAGACGATGAATAAGGGTCTTATCAAGAGAAACGATCAAATGCTCGCCTTGCTCTGTTCTGTGATGCACGTTCGTGACTGTCCTTTTCGAACTTATTCATCAAAACGAACAAATCTTTTTCAGAGTCAATTCGTTCATTTCGTTCGTTTAATTGAACCAAATGACCCAAAAAAGATTAGTTCATTTTGATAAACGAAATCGTCTGGAATCGTTTAAAGCCCTTTGAACAGTTTGCAGTTTGCACTGAAACTCTCATTTGGACCTTGAACCGTTATATGGAGAAAAATGCTGGAATGTTTTCATCAAAAACCTTAATTTGTTTTCGACTGAAGAAAGAATGACATGGACATCTTGGATGACATGGGGGTGAGTAAATTATCAGCAAACGTTTTTTTAAAAGTGAACTACTCCTTTAAGGTTGTGCCACTGGAGTCACATGGACTATTATAATGTTTATATCTTTACTACCTTTCCGGGCCTTGAAAGTGGTAATAACATTGCAGTCTATCTGAAATGTTATTACTATTCTGGGTCAGAAAGCTTTTAGATTTCATCAAAAAGATCGACTTCATGCATTACATAATCACGCTGAAAGGTCAGACGATAACCTGACGTAGGTGGAAAATGTAGGGTAGGGTGAAAAAATCATTTAAACTCATCACATTTTTTCCTCCAACTGTCATCCGACATTGTTGTTTTACATTTTATACAATTTTGCACTTTCGCTTTGTAAACGCTAGCGACACTTCTGCTTACGTCATGCGTGATTATGCATTGATTTGTTTTAGAAAATTACAGATCGTTTCGCTAAATAAGACCCTCATTCCTCGACTGGGATCGTGTAGAGCTCTTTGAAGCTGCATTGAATCTGCAACTGGGTCTTTCAACCTGTTGATAAACCTTAAAGTCCACTATATGGAGAAAAATCCTGGAATGTTTTCCTCAATTTTCTTTTATTTCTTTTCGACTGAAGAAAGAAAGAAATGAATATCTTGAATGACGTGGGGGTGAGGAAATTATCAGGAAATTTTCATTCTGAATTCTGATGTGAACTAATCCTTTAATGACACAATTTTAACAACTAACCCTTTTAGTTTATTTCTTTGACCCCTTTGACAGATATTTGTTCTTTTGTTAAGCTTAAACTCATTTAATTTTTAACTCAAAAACAAATGACTTAATTTAAAACTCATTACAAGTGATTGCATCCCAAGTAAATATACCTTGGCATTAGAATGTTTAGAAACTGTACCGAAGATAATACTGAAGAAGACAGTATTTTTTTTTATTTATTTTTTTTTTTGTGCATTGTGAAGAAAGGTCTAAGCTAAAATGGGAAAATGGAATATGGATTACAGACTGAAGTATTATTTGTGTAGGTTTCACAAATATGTTGCCAGCAGATGAACTGATGCATTGTTTTGAATGTCAATGGTTATAAATGCTATGAGTGTAGGCTAGCTATCACATTATATTAAGTATTCTTATTATGCAGTCATATACAAGTCTCATTACAGAATCGTTTTATACATTGATAAGTGACTAATATCTAAGGCTGTATTAGACTAAGTGTCAATAATCATGTTTATTGTAGATCTTTAATGGGCATTATGGGAATCATTTTACACAGTTTTACATTTTTTGCTAATTATTTAAATGATCCTGAACAGATCTGTTAGTTTTTTTTTTTTTCCGTGTCCCCTCCCTCTTCTCCTACATATCCCATGAGTCCTAAACGTGTCTCAGTAATCTGACAGCGTTGTATTGCAGGTTTCTCCCAATGGCCTGCCAAGTTCTCACTTACTATTCGTGGAAATCATGTATAGCACTGTCAACCGTTAATTGAACCTTTAGAGATTTATAATTAGTGTCAAAAATGAACACCTCCCAGATGTGTTTAGTAATTAATTAGCTCTAAATGAGCTCTGTGCTTGGTGTGCCATTGCAAGAATTTGCAGCCTCGAAATCACATAGAATACATAGAATGTTAAAACATCCGTATTAATGTTCCCTCAGCTTGCGTGTAATAGCGGGTCACTTTAGAGTACAGAGGATGTGCTGTCTTTCCTGAGATTACAGTAAGCCTGTGCTTTGGCAGTTCTAGAGTGAGCAACAATCAATCATGTCTTGTTACACTATGGTCAAATTTAGTTTTTAAATGACTTTTTGACAGTAAGCAATAGCCTGGAACACCGAACGCCTTCGTAACCACTCCAAACACCTGCACAACAAGCATCACTCATCATTTTATACAGAAAATGTCTAGTTTTAAATGTCCAGCAAAGCTGTTATTGTTACAAATTAAAAACAGCATAAAACATTCAAAGTGCTAAATGGTTATAGTATGGGATTAATCACTTGTAATGGTTAATCACTGCTGGATTCCGAGACAGTAAGCAGCCATAGGCACTATTTTCAAGGTGTCCTTAGAAACTGAAAATAAATCCGTTTGAATTAAGTACCAGTTTGATGTTATCATACAGTAGGAGCATTATTTTTCAAACCATAAGGTTCACATGGAATATTCACTTTGCAGTCAGTTATTCTATGAAGAGTTCAGATCTGCCATATTGTCTGATGTGTGTTAAATCTGAATTTCGTGAGATAAGAACAAATATAATGAAAGGTAAAAATTAAAAATATAATTAGATAATTTAGTGCTGTCAAAGCGATAAGTTGCATCTAACATAAAAGTTTGTAAATAATACATATGTGTGTGTCTGTTTATATAACCTATACACAGACACACACACACACACACACACATATATCTATATCTATATAATTACTGTGTGTATAGCTTTGAAGGCACCAGTCTAATTGAACGGTTTATAATTGACCTGTTTTTTTAGTAATTATGTAATTGTTATATAATTAAGTTATATCATTGTAATATAAACATCGATATATGTGAGATTCACCAATAGTGTCTCGTGATTGTCTGTAGTTGTTTCGAATTTTAGATATAAGCAGTAGAGAACTGAGTGAATTTGACAGCAGATGTGTTTTCCACCATGTGTTTGTGGAATAAAACAGTCTGCGATCTGGGGTCAAAAGGCAGACGACTCGTAGCTCTGCGCATCTCTGTTTATGCAATCCTGGTGTCGCTGTCATGTGTCTTACACTCCCCTAGAGTTCAGTGAAATCTCAAGATGATTAAAGAAGCTTTGTGTTCTATCCTTAGCTGCCAAAGGCCCTGATTAGTGAGCAGACTGTCTGTGGGAGGGCTTGTAAACTTGTGTCAGTGTAACAGTCGTGTGCTTGGATGCTACCTGGAACGCTGCTCTGTATAGTCAGATTTTATTGTTATATTTCATTTTTTATACAGTTTTTTTAGCATCAGAAATGATCATGTATACTGTAAATGTAAGTATACTGTTCATATTATATGTTCATATACAATACTTTTTTAGATTTGAGTGGGCTGCAGAACTAATGCTATTTTAATTTTGTGTAAATTGCCTAAATATATCTAAACATGCCTAAATACGCTTTATCAATATATATATAGATATATATATATATTGATAAAGCGAATTGTTTAGTGAAAACATGAGCTTGAGGCAGTATGTCATGGCTTTTGTGGTGAAATATAGATAAATCATCTACATTTTATACAAAGAATTAGAACATAGACTATGATACTGTCATTAAATGTTTTTTTTTTTACTCAGGGTACACTTTTATTTTAAAAAGATTTGTTATAAGAAATCTAGTTAAACTATCTTTGCTCTCAGTTTGATACACAAACTTTACTCAGAGATGATGCGCTTGAACTTCTTTAAATGTTGGATTAAAGTTGCCTATTAAGGACTAAGTACTAAATGCAATTTAAGAAAGTCTGTAACTGTTTCTCAACGTGCATGAGATTAACCTCTGAACTGGGGCCTAGTTTTACAGTTGCTTATACTAAATAACATCACAGGTCATCTAAAGCGTAATAGTTTAACACAAGTTTGACTGAGTCCACATGGCATGACTGGATTGCAGTTATCACAATATCTGTGTTTTCTGTAATACCATGGTGTTCTTTGGTATTCTGGAGTACAATGATAATGCCATGGTTCATTGTATGAACATGCTAATTAGGGTTGGGTCTCGTTTGAATTTGAACGATTCTGATTCCGATTCCGATTCCTTGTTTCGATTCCGGTTCCTAACGATTCTCGATTCCGATTCTTTTAAGAAGCAGGGTCAAAAAAGTTAAGCTAACCTTGCTAACCAACAGCCTTTCTGAAGGAAATAATCCTTTCTGAAGGAAATACTCCTTCTGTAAAAATACTCCTTTTGTCACAAATTTTGCATTTTGCCGAGATTTCGTTATTTTTTAGAAAAGTGAAGCCACACTTTGGACCGCCGAGGTAAGCTACTCATGTTCGACTCGCGTGGTTATGCCAACACTTCCGGTAGACGCTTCTTCGTTGGTGTTGTTCAGCGGTTTCTTCTTCCGCTCGGCGGACTGTGAATATCGAAACTAGGAATCGAAATTTTAACTTTTGAACGATTCCGGGAAAAACTAAAAGTTAGTCTCGGTTCCAATCGATACTCGATTCTCGATACCCAACCCTAATGCTAATACACTTTCATGGTAGATCAAAGTACCACGGTACTCCCACATTATTTTGTGATACTGATGTCTTCCCATTGTGCTGTTAAGTTATTTAATGCAAAGCTAGCCGTGGATTATCCCATACTTAAGCTATCCAATAGAGATAGTTTATCAACTATATTTCTTAATGAGAGTTTGAAGACTGAATACCTGTCTTAGCTTGAGATACCCGACATATAATGCCCTTTCACACCAAAGATATAAGGATAACAATAAAGACAGTAAGACAAAAAATAAAAGAATAGCAGTTCACACCACAACTTTAAAGATTACAGAACAGAGAAATTATATCGTTGAAATCCCTTACAGATAGATTTTTTTTTCAGCCAATCGGAATCCACCAGACTTGAAAGAACTCAAGCATTTAAAGCAAAAGAGGACACTTAAGTTACAATAAACATATAGTTATCTGCTAACACTTTAGTTTAGGGTCCAATTCTCACTATTAACAAGCTGCTTATTTGTATGCCTGTAGGGTATTGGCTATTTATTAGTACTTATAAAGCACATATTTATACCTCATTCTGCATGACCATATTCTACATCCTTAATCATACTCAATACCTACAATTAAACATCTACCATACTAATAATTAATAAGCAGTAATTAGGAGTTTGAGGCAAAAAGTCAGTTAATTGTGAGAATTCTTTCAACATTTATGGGCTTGAATTTGATTGTGAGTTACCGATAATGTCATTCACATTTCCAAACTCTTCCCCACAGTTTGAACTGACGTGGAGGAGAGATGCAGAGGGCGGCCCCAGGCTCCTTCGACGCCGATACCCTTTTTCAGAATGAACAGTTTCCTCATCCTCCAGTGTCGTCTTTTGGCTCAAGCGTGAAATTGGCCAGCCCAGCCAAGAGAATTACCTTCTACAAGAGTGGCGACGCTCAGTTCAAAGGGGTCAAGATGGCCATCCATAAACGCAGCTTCAAATGCTTTGATGCCTTATTGGATGACCTTTCCCAAAAGGTTCCTCTGCCTTTTGGTGTGCGTACTATCACGACCCCCAGGGGCACCCACAGCATTAAACATTTAGAGCAGTTTGAGGATGGAGGCTGTTACTTGTGCTCTGACCGTCGCCACGTCAAGCCAATCAACATAGAAGCTGCAGGGAAAAGGCCCGCAGTCTGGCACCACCACAGCCACCCACATAATACTCGCCGGAAGCCCTCCCGACCTGAGGAACCCCCCTCGGGACATCAGCAGCACCACCGGCATCCCAAAAGGATTGTTCTAGTGAAAAACAATGACCCTGCTATTAGGCGATCCATCATTCTGAGCAGACGAACTGCTCGAAGTCTTCGCGTCTTCATGGACGAGATTTCAGAGCTAATGCAGTGTCACGTCAAGAAACTCTATACTCTGGAGGGGCGCAAGGTCAGGAAGGATTTCCTTTCTTCAGCCATTCTTTAATTAGCTGGACCAGGTATTTTAGGAGGCAGATGTCAGGTCAGGACAGAATTGCAAGCCATGGAAAATACAAGGTGTAGTTCACCCATAAAAAAAATTTGTGAACTCTCATTTTGTTTCCCACACATATGATTTTCTTTCTTCTGTGAAACACAAAAGGAGAAATGAAAGTTTGTACATTGTTCTTCCATATATTGACAATTGGCGGTATAAAAGGATAAAAACGATCCATAAGACTTGTTTGCTAGTGTTCTGAGGAATGGACCATAATTGTATTGAAAAGTCATTATTTACTGAAAAATGTGCCCTCCGCCATAGCTCTAAAATCTTTTTCTTGCATGCATATATTCTCTATTGATGGCAATGACAGTTGCCATAACCAAACGCTTGAATGTGTGTATGCACTATTTGAGCACTACAGGGCAAGAGTTTCAGCGAATAATATAGTTTATAACAAATTCTGCTATATTTGTCCTATTTGGAGTTTGACAACCCTGTGCAATGCTCATGTACATTAGTAAAAAAAAACTTTCTGCAAAGCATCTCCCTTTTGTGTACCATGGAAGCCATACAGGTTTTTGACTCTCATTCAGAGTTCTCATTGTTGGTTGAACTATTTCCTATACCGTTTAAAATCAGCATTTGGTGTTTAATTGTTTAATTTACATAATTACATAAAATAATATGCTGATATTGTCATTGGAGAGAACCATTGTGTTTGAGTTTTTATGAGTTATGGGTTCACAGTTCTAAAATGTGTGTTTAGCATTTTTTTTGGCACAAAAAAGGTTAAATTTCAGATAAAATGTTGATTTTGGAAGATAGCTGCCTCTGTAGACAGTGATAGTAAGTATTTGTTTCTAAGTGGATTTGACTCATATGTATCTTGTGTTTATTCACTGCTCTCCATAGATTGACAATATTCAGAGTCTGATGCAGTGTCCTAGTGTGCTGGTCTGTGTGGGTCGAGAACCCTTCAGACCATTGCTTATGGAAAGCTCGAAGAAGCTCTCAGATGAAAAGCTTCCAGGAATGCGCACAAGGTCTCACTCTAGTATCTGCAGTGAAGGTCATGAAAGCAAAAAGAATGGTAAATATTTTTTCTTATTGTGTGTGTACACAGTTCGGGATAACTATCGTTTAAATTTATTTGCTTTAGGTGAATCATCATAGTGATTAACAACCCATCTGCCCATGCATGTCTAATAATAGACTAAAGGTGAAACAACCATCCACCACCAACTCAAATGCAGTTAATGTATTATCAGCGTTGGTGAATCAAGAGCATGTTTCAAATAGGCGTCGATATGATTGCTTGTTAAAAAGAAGTGATTTTTCTTCATTTATTAATATTTTTTGTATTATTTTGTTTTAACAGTTAACTTTGGCCTGGAGACAAAGAAAAGCATTATCCATCCAAGATCCGACTCCAGTAATAGATCTACAAGATTCTCTCTTTCTTCAGAAAAGTCCTATCAGAATGGAGTATGCATGACACCAGGACAGTCTGGCTGTGTCAGCACCTGTCCTTACGTTAAAGAAGCCACAATGAATGATGACATTGAGAAGAGAGTGCTTGTTAACAAAGACGGCAGCCTTTCTGTGGAGATGAAGGTTCGCTTTCGGCTTTTCAATGACGAGACTCTCCAGTGGTCTACCGAGATCAAGAAGTCATCAAAAAAAGTGAATGACTCTGGCTTTGTAAAAGATGGCGATTATCTTCAAGCTAAAGCTGAGTATTCAGACCCAGACTCCATCTCTGCATCTGAGGAGACTGATGAAGCCTTTGCAACAAAGGTGCATCAGAAGCATCTCGAGGACTCGCTTTGTCAGAACTGTTGCAACCACTGCCAAGAGTACGACATCTGGAAAAACCCCATGCACAAAGACCCTGGGGCCTGCAAATCACCCAGTTCCAGTGGATCAACTCACAGAGTTGTAACCAAAAAGTCATCGGTGGATAGTACGCACACATTGTCTCGCTCCAGTGGGGAATACACTGAGCATGTGGTGGAAAAGGCCTCATGCTTTCAGCAGACAATGGAGGAAGGGGACACCAGAGTAGAATACTGTGCTGTAAGTCATTGCTGCAATCGAAGTGAAGTATCATCTGCTGGAGTCATGTCAAAGAGCAAGAGATCTGGTGAGGACTGCTGTGAGAGTCACATTAAAAGTAGATGTTCTCAAACAGAACCTGAAATCTCTCCTACGCCACATTGTGCGGTCATTAAAGTCATGGAAGAGCGTCCGATTTCTGCAGTCAGCAATTCGTCCAAAGTGCTTGAGTCTTTGAAGGAAGATCAGGATGATGATTATGATGAGCTGCCTCCAAGCATCTCAAGAGTGTCACACTGGTCTCAAAGTGACCATCTTGAGAGCGATGATCAACCCAGTTGTGTTCATTGTTGTGGCTGCCAGACTTTACCAAGATCGTATTTGTCCCCCAGACCTCCCAGTAAAGAATCAAGCAGTGTTGTTCACTCACTGAAGCTCAAAAAGTATAAAACCACTTTTGCAGCACCAGTAGAGCAAGACGGGATGAGTACAACATCTCCAGTTTCAAAAGTCTCCTCCAGATCCCATCCAAGTCACTGTGGAGCCATAACCCCAAGTTCAGTTTCATCTGCTTGCCAGCACAGCCAAACATCTTGTAAATCTAGAGACAAAACAATCAACCCTGAATCCAATGCATCAGATGCTCTGGAGGAATGTGATGGTGACGCTGAAAACAGATCTTTGAGTGCCACTTCAGGTGTGTCAAGAAGATCTGGCAGGTCAGCTGTATGTTCATGCTGTTGTGTGAATAAAACACTGACTGAGAATCCAGAGGGGAGTGAACCAGAGAAAGGTGATTCCATATTGTTGAAGTCAAACAAATCTGCTGTATCCATTTTAAATCCTAATGAAAAATGTGAACCTGTTAATAATACATTGGAAGTGGAAGCCACAATGGAACGCTCTGAGTCTGCACTGTCTAAAAATTCAAATACCTCTTCTACTTCAAAAACCTCCAAAAGATCCAACTGCTCTGCTCATGAAATGTGTTCTGTTGGGAAATCAGTGAAATATGAACATAATGAAACAGAAAGTGTTGAAGAAAGAACCAAAAGTGCCATGTCAGCCAGGTCAGACTTAATTATTTCAGAGAGAGAGCCCACACCAGCCTTGGTCCTGACAGAAAACGATGAAGCTGGAGAAAAAAGCCAAGAAAGAGCTGTCAGTCCAATGTCTGCTCATTCAAACTTATCAGCTGCATCAAAAACATCCCATAAATCAAAATCTGCACATTCAGAGAAAACTAAAACACCTAGATCTTGTAGTCCAAATGATTTAGAAGAAGTGCCATCAACGTTACTTAATTCTCAGGGTGATAAATCAGAAAGTGCTGCTACTCAAAATCATACTACGTCAAATAATCATTGTGAACAAGACACAGAGTTTCTTGAAGAAGTGAGATCAACTAGTGCCATGTCTAACAAATCAGACCGATCTTCTGAACATCCATCACAAACATCAGAGAAAACAACTAGGTCTGTCAAATCTTGTTGCGACTTACAAGACAAAGCCACTCCGAAGTCCATCCATTCCGATATTCAGAGTGAGCCGGAAACTGAAGTAACCACAGAGGAAAGACTATGCAGTTCACTGTCCAAACGCTCAAAAAGGTCTGTAAAGTCAAATGCATCCTCAAAGTCTAAATCTAAGGAAAGAGTTAACAGTGCAATGTCTTGTAGGTCCTGCAAATCAAACCAGAACTATTCAGAAAACACAGTTACCTCAGTACCAAATTATGTAACGCCTGATGAATGTGCAGATCCACAAAGTGAGTCAGAGAGAGCAACCAGCACAATGTCTCAGACCTCAGAAAAGTCTAATGCCTGCTCTGAAAGATCCGTCAAGTCTGGTACAAAGAGCCCTGCCTTCCAGGAAGTGGATAATGGCAAAAGCATGACACAAAATGCCTTAACTGTGACCACTCCATTGCCTTGGACAAAGAGGTCTCCATCTCCTAGATCAAACCATGACACTAAAATTAAGACCAATAGCCGAGCAACAAGTGGGATGTCAGTAAGCTCTAATGTATCCTCGCAATCCCAAAGATCCAGTAAATGTAATTGTCACAGCTCCTCAAGTGGTAATTTGAGAGAGACAAATCCTGAGAAACTAAAAGAGGATGTCAAAGATGAATCTGAAGAGAGCTTGTCAAGAAAATCAAAACTGTCAAATAAATCCCTTATCAATAACATTAAGTCTTCAGGCAAACAGTGTGATGAGCCTCTAAGCCCAACATCAACAGCGTCTGTTTCTATCGGACTTGGAGAAGAGCACAAGGGTGATGACTTTGATGAAAGATCAATCAGCGGTATGTCTGTCACCACAGAGGACGGTGGACATAAGATAGAGAATGTAAATGGAGTGGATGCTAAGGAAAGGCCAAATACAGAAGTTTCTGTGAATTCTGCAATTTCAGACAGACCAAAAAAGTCCCATCACATGAACTACAAGACTCCTGTTCAAGCCCTCTCGCCTGTCTCAGCTGAAAGTATTATGTCGGCAGAACTGAAGAAAAGCAAATCTGGAAGCCAGTTAAATGAAAACAACATCAGAGTGCCCTCCACTTTGTCAATGTCATCTGTACAAAGTAAAACACCCTCCGGAGTTTCACAGGGAAGTGCTAAAAATACAGTTACGAAAGGAGGAGATTCTGAAGCTCTCAACAACACCAACCATGCAGAAATTACTAAAACATCCTCAAAACATGACCAAAGTGAAACAGCATCTGGAAAAGCTACACCAGCAAGTGACTGTTTACATTCAAAAGCATCTGAACATTCAATGAAGTCCAAAAATGGCCAAAGTACTAGAGAGAATGACAAAAGATCTAAATGTTCTTCCCAATGTTTGGAAATAAATGGACTGAACATAAAATATAACTGTGAAAATGATAGGGGCATGGTTAAGTGTCTTAAACCCTCCTCATCAGAAAGAAGATCTGTGAAAAGTGATGCAAATTCTGCGGTAATGTCTGATATTTCCCAAAATTGTATAAGCCTACCACAAGAGATGCCAAACAAGAAAAAAACATCGGTCAAGCATCCAGATTCCTCAAGCAACAGTGTTTTATCTCAGGCACTTTCAGCAGCAGATTTGTTGAGAGAAATTATTGGTAATGCAAGACCAGTGAGTAGAGGATCAAAGTCAGTTGCCTCTAGCAAAAATGTTGACAAGGTAGAAAATAAAAGCCAAAAAAGCAGCAGGAGCAAGCATGAGGAAGTCAGCATCTCATTGGAGTGCGACAGCAAGGAACTGATGCCGTCATTCTTACCGAACGCTTCCCCTACAGAAGTTGTGAATGACTGGCTTAGGAAGATTCCCATTGAAGGACATGTTTATGAAATGGATGGCGAACTCACCGAATATATGAACCTGGCTCAAGGTGATGAGGACACTTCTCAAACTGAAAAAAGCATAATTAAGGTTGAAGAACCTCAGGAGGATCAAGCAGGCGAGAATTATTTTCAGCAGGAGACCAACGACAGTTGTGGTGAAAAAGCACAATTGGAAACTCATGAAATGTATCCTGACCCTGAAGCATTAACCAAACAAGACTGCTTACAAAAGCATTGCCATTCTTCGGTTCAGGTCATGAAGGTTTTACTGGGTCCAAAACTAGACAGATCCAGTAGTTTACCTGAAGTCTCCCTTGCTTATGGCAGAAAATTAAGCCAGTCTGCTCAAGGTCTGTTGGACTGCCTTGCAAATTTACGATTGATTGACTCAGATTCTAAAAACGAAAAGAAACGTAAATATAATGAAATCATGATGATCCTACAGTCGCTCTGGCTCCAAAAGCCCTCTGAGGATGAACAGAAAAAGCAGGAGCATCACTTCACCGAGGATGAATTTAACCCACGGTCTTCATCTGGGGTTGATGTTAGTAGCGGCTCCACTGGCTCTGTTAAAGGTAGCATGAATGGCATAGTAGGAAAAATAGAGACCACTCATGGCACAATACCACCAATTGCCGAACAAGAGGCATCAGTGGAAATTAAAGATGAAGAGGAAAATTCTACAGCTCCTGCATGTGAATGTTTAGATCCACCCAACGTTCTCTCGGATCCAGTAACTCCAGACATTGCAGAGCGAGTACAGGGGAGCCCAGTAAATACACAACTGGATGATGACAAAGAAAATGGCATATTACACAAAGAAGATGTTGAAAGCAGTAAGAAAGAATCAGATCAAACACCACAAATAAGCTCTGGGAATGAGAGTAACACAATGAAATCTCAAGAAAATACAAGCTCAGGAAGTCCACCGTCTGTTCAGAGAGCTCCGCTTCTTAAAAGGGTTTCACAAGACCCAGATCCTGTTTGGGTACTGAACTTGTTAAAAAAGCTAGAAAACCAGTTCATGTTGCATTATGCAGATGCCATGGCAGAGTTCAAAGTGAGGTGGGATTTGGATGACAACGAGATGCTCGATACAATGATCAGCGAACTGAAAGTGGAAGTACACAAACGGATTCAATCGAGTATTCACAGAGAATTGCAAAAAATCCAAAGTCGGACAGGTAGGGGTCCAAGACCTCCGGGAAATGCTCTATCAAGAGAGTCTACAGTCCAGACTGAGCAGCGACGCAAGCGTCTTCGGGTCATGCGCAATAAGTCCATCACCATGTCAAGGGATGAGGACATTTACACTGCATCTGGAACTGAAAACAGTGATCAACGCAGTGAGGATGAATACTGTCCATGCGATGCATGCATGAAAAAGAAAATGGCGTCAAGGGCAGTCCAGCAAGCTCAGGCTTTGAGTTTGGCTCCAGTTATGATGGAGTTTGATCTGCGGAAAATTTTACAACTGAAAAAGGATCCAGTCAAACCTTTTGAATTGAAGCTGGAAGAACAACGCACAACCAACTTGACTGAAGAAAACAACTTAGAAGTGGTTCATGAAGAGGTAGAAGATACGAATGATGTTGAGACGCCAGATGGTGCTCTCAATGCAGTAGATGGTGAAAACATAAACAATGTAAAATATGTATCTTCAGACTCTGAGAAAAGAGAAACAAATGGTGAAGGTGGTGAAGATGAGGAGGAGAAAGAAGGAGAGCATGTGAAAGAAGAAGTGGTAAATGGTGACACTGAGGGGAAAGAGGAAGTAGAGTTTGTTGAGGAAGAGACTGAAAAAGGAGATACAGAAGAGGATGGTGAGGAGAAAAACTGTCTTAAAGGAGATGCAGCAAATTCAGAAAACAGTGATGTGGGTGCAGAGGTGGAAAAAGAGATGGAGATGACAGAAACTGGTGAGGAAACGGAATCAGGTGACAATAGAGCTGAAACTGAGACTGTGGAAGAGAGTACAGAAGACGAGTCTGCAGAAGATGGTAGTGAATCAAATAAAGATAATACTCCTGAAACTACTGAAGGTGAAAAGTCAGATGAGACACCAAATGAAGAGTCTGCCAGTGAGAAGAATGCTGAAGGAAGCCAAGATGGAACTGCCGAGGAAGATGGGACATCAAACACAGGACAGGACGAGGACCAGCCTGAGAGAAAAGGCAATGTGCCAAAGGTAAAGACCGAGGTTGAGGTCAACGGAGACACAGAAAATGAAGTGGACAAATGTAGCTCCGTTGAGGAAGATTTAAAAAATGATGATCAATCTGATGAAACTGTTGCTGTTATCTGTGAGAGCACACTAGCAAAACAGGTAACGAGAACGTCAATGGAATCTCAACCAGGATCCGTGGAGAATTGCACAAATCAGACAGCGCAAGCTAAACTGAAAGATCTTCAGAGTTTCATGGAGAGTGTTGAAAGTCAAGGCGACAACATGGTTGTGATTACTAAACAACCACCCTTCAAAGAGTCAAATGGACCAGGAAACCTAAAGAACATGTGCAATGGCTTGACCGAATGGCAAGTGTCCCCTAAAATAAGCAACAGGGCCAATAAACAAAAAAATACGAAGGATTGACAATGATGTTATGGTGAACAATACGGAATTTTAATATTTCATCTGATAAACCCTCAAATAAAGCACTTTATTTTTGATTGCTAATGTTCCTTTAGATGGGACTTAGAAGATTAATCTGTCTTCAAAGACATCTAAACACCTAAAGAGAAACTTTGAAGAGATTTCAATTCTATTGATTGTACAATACCGTATATTTCCATGTAGTCAAGGTATCGACTTCTATTTAACCTATGGAATCATATACACTGGCAGTGAAATACTTTATAAACATAGTCATACAGTCACAGAACATTATACTGATAAATTTTTGAATTCTCAGGATGCTTAATGTTAAAAGTATTATTTAAATGCATTGTTCAAAACAAACCTCAACCAGTGTTAGCATTGCATTACATTTATTCCATATTTATTCCAAATGGCACAATTATATTTCAAAATATATAATTGCAGATGTAAGAATGGGCTTACCCAAATTAGTATGAGAGACGTTCAGTTTAGCAGCAACCATGACTGTATATTTCGAAATGATTTGTTTATTCATGAAGTGGAAAGATTGTCTTATGCTGCTAAGTGGTGCTTGATGCTGCATTGTACATTGTAAAACATCTTGACAGATGTGGTACTAAAAGCATCCTTGACCAAGGTTTGTTGTATGTTGCTATTGTACTGTATCATCTAATAAATGCTCAATTCTGAGAATGTCATATGTTCATACCAGGCCAATGTCGACGGTAAACTAAACAGCAGTATAATGTTATTGGTGGCACATGTTTAGGGTTAGGGGTTTATTCTAAACTCCCATCCATAAGGCCAGAAAGATGCTCAGTATGTAAATAAAGAATGCTTGAACTATTGTGTGACAGACCTTTCAGTGTCACCAAACGTCATTAAGCTTGCTTCTGGTATCTGGCTATAAACATGTCAACAATTAAACTAACTTTTAACTGACTTGCTCAGCAAGATTCACTTTATTGTTCCTCTTAAAGGCGAAGAAGGCGTGGTGGCAGATTTGTGTAGC